ATGCTGAGTGAGACAATATTTCTCCCTATTCTTGGGTTGGGTACTGACCAGAAACAGGTGATTGTCAGTGATTGCAAGAAACGGTCACCGTTGTCTGTTCGTTGGCATGGGATCCCATCAATACCTCTAAGATACCTTTACGAGTGGCTCACCTGTCACCTATCGTGACTCAGAGACAGCATACACCCGTGACTAGAGATTCCAGAGTTCTGGCGAGTGGTGCCTGTTATTCGATTTAGTATAGAGTTCGGATGGTGTAAGCTCTTAAATAAAATTAGTGATGAGGCTAGGACAGTGGTTTCTGTGACTTAGATCTTCGACAATGGTCGCAGAGTGAGGGATTGGGAAGTTAATAGGGGTTTTATATTGGTATTAGAAGAAGGCAAAGAAGAAGATTGAGTTAAGGAGGACATGTTGTTCTTGGTTGAATTCTGTATACTGAGGGAAGCGCGTTGGCGGTTGACACTGCTTCCCACATTAGAAAGGTTGTTTCTGCAATGTACCTGGAAGAGAATAAGTTCTGAGCGACCTCAGTGCCCAGGGAACATCTGCCTGTCACACACCTTTTTGAGGATTGTTGGTATGAGATTTGATTGTTATGATACGGGATGGGGAAAACTCATACCTCTGGCATCGGAAGATCATGGGACAGTGAGGGGTGTGCTATCTTTGGGGTCAACCGTTTCTAATCATCCTTTCCGCCGGAAAGGCAGCGTCATCATGGTCTTATGATCCTCCAAGGGAAATATCTTGCTGCTATCACACCCCGTCTAACCATCAACATGGCTTCGTTCTCGGAGCCTCATCATAGCGTGGCACTTTACATTAAAACGACAACTGCTTTTTGTCTAATCACAATCCAATAGACCTTTCTGGCATGAAAGCACCTCGAGGGAACACGTATTTTGCCAGTATAGCTCGTTAGTTCATGGCGATATGCATACCCGACTATCACCTCAAGGTGGCAGCTATCGGTCGGGTGTCCAGTACTCTCTGATTTTCAATGATTTTCCTATGAATATCAGTTTACGATAAGAATTACTTTACAACCTTACCAAGTATTCACTTGCATCGCTTTGCATTTTTGTTTTCGTATACCTCAGTATATATTCTATTTTCATGATTTCAAAGGAACATTTTTCTGAAACTATTTAGTCTACTACTTATTTTCTGAATTAATAAGCTTGAGTCTGTCTTTGCTTACTTGTTACTGGAATGAATATTCAAGGTTAGTTTTGCTTAAATTCTCACTCACGGCGATCAAAAATTTTGAGAGTGGTCATAAAAATCCTAAACTCCACGTTTTGGGTGTTAGCAATCTTTGGATAGGTTAAAGTTTACTGAAAAAATGAAGAAAGTCTTATCTCATTGCAAATCAGTTTTAATCGAATAAGGATAAGTGCTTCATCCTTATTCGAGTTCAATCAACAGTACCCACGCATTAACCTAGTGGTGTCCAGTTGATCCATGAGATTTTAATATTTACTAACCTTGTAACATGACACGATATATTTTCGTGTACTCTTCGTGTTACTGACATCAAAATCCTTTCATTGACTTGAAAAACAATCGTTGTAGTTAGCAGTAGTTTAGGAGTTGACATTAAGTTAATTGCTAGTATCCTGAATTTGAAATGTATTCGCTCAGATTTTAGTTTTATACAGTTTTACCAACAGTGTTATTTTTATGAGGTTTATATAATCTCAGACAAATCGATGAAGACGTTTAACTATAGACTGAAGTAAATGATATCAACTTTTAGAATACTTCTCTTTTTCTTGTTCAATTTAACAATAACTTAATATTTTCCATAATTATATTTATATTCACAAATGAACTTCACTTGTATAATGACAGTTTGATTGGATTGATAATCATGTGTTTTTAATATAAAATTCAGTTATGGTTTCTTTCATCCTAGAAACACTATGATTGTAGATAAACCATAGATATAATTATCGATGTTATTACTTTTACAAGGTTTCACATCTCGTGATGTAATCGCATTAGTAAAATATGACTAAGTAAATTGTCATCTGCCTATTCTTTTATCTTTTATTCACCGAATTCTTATTTAAGGGAATCATTTTCTCTTTCTTTCTCTTTCATACACATATAATATCACAATCTTGCTTGAAATACTAAAGATTTTCTTCACAGATGCCACTGTCCAAACCATATATATATATGGTTACATTTGATAGTAGCTTATTTGATGGTTGTATAGATCGAGAGCAATGGGACGAACATAAATGGGATTGAATGTAGACGATCCTTTTACATCTGAAGCTTTAAGAGACTAGATAGTATGTACATGAAATATGGCTGCTAATAAGTAAGCTTTTTAAACCCAACGTGAGTTGGAAACAGTGTTTAATTGACAATCATTAGAAGCTGTTCTTACTCATCTGAGCTATCGAAAGTAATGTGCTTGATATTAGTAAAGAAATCTTTAGTAATTAGTACATGGATCAGTAGTTGTCGAGATGCCTGAAACTCAAGACGAGCATATCAGAAGACAGACTGGCCGCCTCCTTCAGAAAAATTAATCATGAAATCTCCTGCTACAGAGTGTTAAAGTGGCCCACGAAATGTGAATATCCTAGAGAGAATTTATGTAATTAGATCGCATAAAAGCTTCAATTAAAATAACTTTACTCCATCTTTTCCACGAATGGGGGTGATATTCAAATTTGAGAGTACGCGGTATTGTTCCTGAAGGTATGGAAAGACAAAATGACTCCTATCACTCTGGAATATGACCATTACCCTTTCCTTATTGATAAAGAGTTTACATGTGAAAACCATATGTTTATTAGTTTCTTATCTGTCGTGTCCAAAATAATGACTACTAGCATACTCTTCAGACTACACAAAATGCGTTGAAAACTTGTTTGTAGTGAGAAGGTGCGGTTTTCTTCATGTTATGAGTACGTTGACTAAGTGTTGGATCTTCACTAAGTATTTGAAAATCGCTGCTTGTTTTACACATCGATAATTAATTTTACTAACATTATGGCTACCTTTATTTCATTGGACAAAACTGTACTGCTGCAGTAGTGCATCATCAGAAAGTTTATCATTAACTTGACATTTTTATGAAAAAGGATGTCAGGTGGAGTACAGGAATGAAACCAGCTCCTTTCACTGTTACGAACGTTCAATGAGAATGGGCGGAAATACCTGATTCTTTTGTTTCTTTTTAATTTTGCCATCGATCGGACTAGTGATATGGTTCTACGGGAGCTTAGTTGTGGGGTAAACTAACTGCACTAATAAAAACGTTTTTACCTTCGATTTTCCGATTATGCCTATGTGCATTCGTTGCACAGAACAAGATAAATCATTGACTATCCAGTATTTGCGTGTATATCACATGCTCCTCACTATCGAAAGTGCAAATTACGTCCGAAGGATTGACTGAAGCCTATACTAGTGCACATCTTTGATAACAACTTTTGAAGTTAGTCAAAATGTATATTTATATGAGCGGTTATGTAACTTCTAGTGCAAAATTGGCAAACAGAATTTTTCTCCATGCAACGAAAGCCAACATTTACTGGTCTGCTTCACTGGTACTTTTAGTATGACTATAGAAGATCAGGTTTACAATGTTTTACTGCTGTTGATCTCTCTTCTCTACGTCAATGTTAATTAACATTTCAGCTAAGGATGTCCGATGATTCTATGCATAAAGTTATCTTTCTAGAATCGCTTGCCTCCATTGGCGACACCCTCCAAAATAATCCTGAGTTCTAAATGTGTGTGTTTGGGAAACAGATAGTTATCAACCATTGTGCACCTGTCTGAATGATCTATCAATTAAGTTAGTTTATTGGTTTCAGGTGGATATTCATCATGGACTGACAGAAGTTGAAGAAACATTTGAGACCTGGAAGGACTGGATATGAGACCCCTCAGCAGTCTGCACCCAATACCGGAAAGTAGAATTATCTACACTATTTTTGGACTTCACTGTTTGATCTAAAATAAGAAACAAATCATGTGTAAAACTAATTTGGTAGAATCGTGTTGAGAAGAACTAGCAGAAAATAGGAAGAATGTCTAGAGAATAGGAAAACTCAATTTGGAAGCTTGTCGGAATTTTATTGATTTCAGTTTGGTATTCATCATCATCATCATCAACTGGAGAAAAGTTGAAAACCTGGGAGCACTGGAGAGGTGTTTCGTCCTAGTATGGGACTCGTCAGCAGTGCGTATCCATGACCCCACCAGGGGTCGAATCCAGGACCTTTGGGTTCTGCGGCCAGAACGCTACCATTGAGCCACTGTGTTGGAACCCAATGGTCCATATTTCCTACTTCTGTCAGTTCATCACCCAGCGACTCAATGGAAACGTTCTGGCCGCAGAACCCAAAGGTCCTGGATTCGACCCCTGGTGGGGTCATGGATACGCACTGCTGACGAGTCCCATACTAGGACGAAACACCTCTCCAGTGCTCCCAGGTTTTCAACTTTTCTCCAGTTGATGATGATGATGATGAATACCAAACTGAAATCAATAAAATTCCGACAAGCTTCCAAATTGAGTTTTCCTATTCTCTAGACATTCTTCCTATTTTCTGCTAGTTCTTCTCAACACGATTCTACCAAATTAGTTTTACACATGATTTGTTTCTTATTTTAGATCAAACAGTGAAGTCCAAAAATAGTGTAGATAATTCTACTTTCCGTCAAATACTACCACTGAGGTAAGACTGTACTACATTTTCGAGTTACAGATTTACCTAAGGAGTAGCCATCATTTAGCTCTACTATGAAATTCTGTCATGTAATCTGAACTATTTTATCCAATTTATATAACACGGCAAAACTCTCCTAACACAAGATCGCTCTCACCTTTTCTATTAACATCTAATCGGCATTAAAGCATAAAATGCTGTCAGAGTATGAGTAGGCTTTTTTCAAAAACTTAGGACTCTTTTAATTCGGTTACACTAAAAATGTTTTGTTCTAACTTTAAATGTATTTATTAACAGTATGGAAGGAAGTATTCTGCATCTTCCCGAAGTGATTGCCCTAAAGAAAAAGTACAAAGCTTATTTGTACTTGGATGAAGCACACAGTATTGGTGCGCTGGGTCAAATGGGTCGTGGTGTAGCTGATTATTTCGGTGTTGACCCACATGATATTGACATTGCTATGGGTACATTCACAAAAAGTTTTGGTTCATGTGGTGGTTATTTAGCTGGAAATCGAAAGTTAATTGACTATCTACGTTCAACATCGCATAGTGCTGCTTATGGCGGTAGTATGCCAGCACCAATCGCTCAACAGATTATATCAGCAATGCGAATTATTATGGGAAAAGATGTTCCTGGTGAAGGTGAACGAAGGTAATCTGATGGTTACTGTTACAATTCTGTCAGTTTTATTTAATTAATTCATATTTCAGTAAATGTTGATGAAAGATGTCAAACATTAGTTCGTGGCTTAACCCTTCTCTGTGAATTTACAATAATCGTCAGCAGTTAAAATATATAGCAGAATACAAACGCAATGTTTTTGTCGTATTTCAGTTTCATTACTTGGAAGTACTTGTTTTCCTGTTGTTGTTTATATCACCATTCAAAAACAATATCTGTCACTTCAGTGAATAGAACATTATCAATTGGATTATCGTTTATGAAACAATTTCGATGTCGTATTTCTATTTCTTTAAGAATTCTCTTTGTAAATATTTCTGCAGATTCTTTAGACTACACTTTTTAGCTTACATGTGATACACATTACTGTCATATTCAATTCATGTAGCATATTATAATTGACACCGCGTAGTTATTTGTCTCACTGTGCACATGTATGACCAATGTATCCACACAATATATAGCAAACTACAAGTTTGATTATGTAAACTGAACCTAGTCAAGGAGAAGCGTTTAAAGACAACATTATTTCAAAGAATTGAAGACTCAAAATCATTGCTTTAGGCTTAGTTCCAATATAACTCAGATTGTTGTTTAGACAGAAGCGAATTGTTTGAACATGATTCTAGGTATATAGTTTACATTATGAACTATGATTACCTTCAGAATAATATCAAGCTGATGACCATTCAGTAAATTTATGACATGGAAGTGTTTGGCTCGAGATCCTACAAATTTATCTTGTTACTTCTCACTGTAAATCTACTTCATTCACAATTCAGCTTTGTGGGGATAACTTGCACTACAGAAAAGGAATAAAGCATAATTGTCAACTCGAAATCTTTTCCGTGTATCTAAATACTAATGTCGGCACAAAATTCTCCTTTTTACAGGCTTAGCACATTCCATTTTATCTTTCTTTGTATTTGTCTCTTAGATTGAAATGCTTGGCTCAGAATACTCGTTATTTTCGTGCACGACTACATGAGATGCGTTTAATTGTTTATGGGAATCGTGATAGTCCAGTTGTGCCAGTAATAATTTGTATGCCAGCTAAACTAGCTGCTTTTTCAAGGAGATGTTTAGAATTGGGATTAGGTACAGTAGTTGTTGGTTTTCCGGCTACTACTCTACTTTTATCCAGAGTAAGATTTTGCATTTCATCATCGCATACACGAGAGTTATTAGATAAAGTAAGTTTTGTTCTTACTTATTTCCATCAATATAACACTGACTGTGCAGTTCGATCTATTCATATCTACTATCTCACACATTCCTTAGGATGTAAACTTATTTTGGTGACTGAAACAATAGTCTGAAATTCATAGAATAACTGATACTTGTTTATTAATACTGCTATCTCTTAACCAGTAGGATTCTTCAGCCTTGGTTCAGATGACCTGAATATACGTGCTCTGACCCTCCTCATTAATTTTCGCACCTCTTGTTACACATTCAGTCTAAGTATGCCTACGATAAAGGGAGATGTAATTAACTTGTGATCTATGCTTTTGTTACATAAAGCGCTCACTGAATCCATCGACACAGTTCGTAAGTATTCTAGCTTTGAGGGTTTTGAGATTCTATGTTATTAGTATTGTGGAAAATACAAAGTATGTGATAAAATCACAGAGCTATGAATGCACTACTGCATACTTCTGTAATTTTGCTTTCGAATTATTGCATAAATTACATACTTTCTACCTTATTGCGCTTTCAAAGCTCAATTTTCATTATGGATATCTACCTTTTCTCATCTACTGAAACATTTTCGCTAGACATATTGTCCCGTATGTCTTGTCGCTGTTTTATTCCCTATTATTAACACTAAATGAAGAGTGAGTTGACTGAAGAACTAACTTTAGCAACTAGAAGTGAAAGACTCTTTTCCAATTCTGTACATTAAATATTTTAAGAGAAACGTAACCGCTACTTGTTTGACCCTCCCACACTCAGCTTTAGCAAAAAGAATGCCATACAAGTGAAAAATCTATTTGTAAGTAGTATGTGTCTAGTAACAAATGACTTATTCTGAATAAGTGTTTTGTTATTGGAAAAGTTGAAGAAGCAAATCTGAACCACAACAATTAAGCAGTTCGTAGAAAACGACTAGTATCGATTATCAGTAGATTTGTGAAGTTGCTATGAAGCATATATTCAACATTAAATTCAAACACTTACCAAATAAAACACCACCTCAAAGGAAAGTACATTTTAAAGATGGTGGTAGTCAATCAGAAAACAAGTACAGAGAATATATACTTTAAAAACGATGGAGATTCGAAAGCATCGGCTTCCATACATCGATGAAAGTTGGAAGCTATTTATAAAAAACAAACTTGTAACACCTAAAACAACCATATATGATGCTAAATGCGAGTATTTTGTGAACTGATTATTACTGAGGATCTAGAAATTCATAATTTGGGAGGTAAAATTCAAGACATTTTACCTTATGATATTTAAAGGTAATTGTGCTTTCATATAGACGTACAGACTAGAGAAAGAAGCATTATACATTTTCAGGATGGAATCTTTTGTTTTCACTAGGTCGGTCAGTGGCTAAAATATTTTGCGGTGCTTAAAATGTATCACATTTATGTCCAGGATCCAGTTTGAATTCATCAAAGTCGGGAATATTAAGCCACTCTCTGTATCTCCCGAAAATCCAAGTGTATTCTCAGCCACGAAGACCTTGTTCACAATTTGACCTCCAGTTCTAATTCATACCTTTTTATCAGTTCCCTTTCTTTATTCCTAAAAGTCTACTCGTCAGAGACGAACTGATATAGAGTGTCATTTGCGTTTTCAAGCTGGCTTACATTTATTCTACCTTTGTGTATACTTCTAGTCAGTAATACTGTTGTTTAATTGAAAATGAAGTAATTATTAAGATAATGTACAAAAACATACAAAGGGTGGTAACAGCAAACAAAAGGAAAACCAATAAAGGCAGAAAGATGTCGAAATGGATAAGAAAAAAAGGTGCGGAAAAAACAAATAACAATGAATAATCTGTACAGTACTTGCGATAAAAAGAAGGCATCTACGTGGTTGCTATCAGTTTTGCATGTTCTCCGATCCGTGATTACGTCCCACGTTAAATCTCACAAGGTTAAACGTTATGTCACTTAAAATACAAGTTCCTGTTCGGTTACGAGAATTAGATCATAATTGATTTTCCCATTCAATGATATTAATGCGACGTTAAACAGATTAGTGTCGACAAATAAAAAAGTTGATCGGATCTTAATTTGTGATTAAAATTGTTATTAGTTTGCAACACATTATTACATAGAACAAACAATCACAATTATTGTTTTAGGGTACATTTACCATGCCTATTTGTTTAGTATCACAACTATACTACGTAAATAAATAAAAGTTACAAATTATAAAATTTACTAATTTTGATGCTATTTGTCCACCATATTGCCTTAGATAGAGTCAACTGGAGCATAAGTGTAAATCTCAAAGAAACCTAAATATCGGGATCTGAATGAAATATATACTCAAAGAGTAATGAGTGCACAAATGTTGACTTGAATTCATTGAGGGTTTCTGTTTCTGCTTAATACACATCATTGAATCCAAGAAGTATGCTCCATAAGACCGTAAGATAATCAAAGATAGAAGCAGAGAGTCAAAGGATTGGTCACCACAATTTTGACCCTCAGTATTTCAGAGACGAAGTTGAGACAACAAATAAAAAACTTTTCAATGTTAAGTTTGACATCTTTCTGCAGTTGAGACTCCGATAGACTGAGTACAGTTAAGTGTATCAGTTGTTCAGGAATAGATAAAGGAAGAGAAAAACGAGGTAATCAGAAAGAAAGCTGATACGGTAAATATATATAAACAGTTGATACCTATCAGCTGCTGTCAATGAACAGCGCCAACCACGATCTTTACATCTAAGACTCGATTCAAATGTGAGTGGGTTCATCTTACTGGGTAATTTAATATTAGAATTGAAACTATTTTTGTTAAATTAATATGAATAAAGTGATCTGACGATTTATTCCATTCCTGAGGAAAAACGTGAAGTAAAGCAACTTGTAGGTAAGAGTATGAAGTTACCGAACTACAAAACTGCATATTTACTCCGAAAAGTTAACTGTCCGTTTCCCATTGCTCAACCCTAAGACAAGTATACTAACTGCTACACCATCCCGATGACTAGCAGTGGAATTCAGGATACGCGTTTCGTCCTATTTTGAACTCATCAGCCGGATGTACCTGCACCCCAGTGAGTGATGTTGTTCCCGTTGAGATTCGAACCCAGTACCGATCTCTAACTACTACTTCACTGAACAGCCTCACATCTATTAATCTTGAGATCTTTCAATATAGATCTAGCAGATATTTTTGGTTTATATTATATGGATAAATTGATGGTGGATTATTGAACTCAGTGATATTTTTCTTATGAAGCCTAGTCTAGTATTTTGCGAAACTAATGTACAGTTTTTGCAAGATATTTACTGTCTCGTAAAATGCAGATAGGTCTATGTATAAAGGTTTCTAAATACTTTTAAATTAGGAAAAAATAAACCTTTTTTATTTGTTCCTGCAATCTCCAGTTGTTTATTGTACTGAAATAAATGAACTAATCTCTAATGAAATATGAGTTCCCGTCAGTTTGGTCGCATCTAAAAAATAGGAGATTGAAAGTATAAATAAATAACAGCTATACACTTCACGTTATTTCTTGGTGATTCAGCCACCTGAGGAATAATCTTGGTGTTTGAGATACTGGATTCAAGATCTGATGAGTGCATAAAGTTGACAGATACCAAGACTCGATTGTCTTTTCCAGATTACATCATCTTTTCTCTTGCATAATATCGGATTGCTTAGTAGGGGTTGAGTATACTGCACAGCAGTTTGCGCTTTTCTACTATATGACTGTACAATATGGGCACTAAAGATACAGAACATGGAAAGGTTCTAGATACTTGGTCACCGTTGCTTTTGTAGTATAGACTAAGAGTCATGGAAATCAGGAATAGAGTCTTGAGCAAAAGATGTAAGTAAATTGGTGAGGTTGTAAATCTTCATCAACTCAGGTGTTACGCTTGCCTAGTCGCCGTCCACCCCATAGTGCAATGCTAGCCGAAGTAATTTAGGTTGCAAACAGATCAGATGTCGCCAAACTAAAACATGGCATTAGTTCATGAAGTAGCTAATTGTTGGTCTGAGCCATGTAGGAAAATGCAGGCTTGTTGGTTAGCGTTAGTATGACAGCTGAAATTGGTGGTTGAAGGCCATATGTGGTATGGCTGATAATCGACCTAAGTAATCCAGATACCTCCAAGCCTTATCATAGTCATATCGCATAGCATTATTGTTTTAGCTCCCCTTTTCTCCCTCTTTGTATGACTTTCTGCAACCTTTGATCTTTTTTTTTCCTAATGTTTCTCTGCCTTTTATTTTACTGCCTTATGTCTTGATGTACTGATCTGAGGTGTACCGTCTCGAACCATCACTCAGTATTGAAAACTCTGATGATGATATTTACTAGTTTAAACAGCTGAAGTTGCTATTAGGATGAGACTTACGTTCTAGGTTTCATTACCAGCTACCAGTATGCAAATACATCAGAATTTGTTTCTTAAGTAAGTTCTTACGATTGGAAAATTACCGGTATTATCAACATACACCAGCTTATGAAATGATGCTAGTTGATCCCAACGACTTATGATAATATTGACTATATATACATTTTGTTCGAATGTAAACATAAAGTGAGTCTTTGCAGTTAGTGCTGATAATAACGCGATATTATTAATATTATTAAAGCCAAATAAGCAACTTATGCGAAGGAAGGTTAATAATTCAACCTAATTGTGTAGGCCAAAGTTTGTGCAGCAGAGTTTGATCCAGTGGTTATTAGTCATAGTTTGAATTACTAACTCATGGCTTTGAACGAAATATACTAGCAATATAATTTCCTACCATGGCTCAAAAAATATATTGATTAAGATCTGTTAGGGTATATCATTTTCATTTGGTGGTTTATGATAACATATTAATTTGAATTTTATCTCAAAATGGCATAAGTTATAGCAATATTCAGAACAAAGGGGTACTGGCTGACGAAATGACTGACTGACAAAATCTACGTGGAACCTGACACACAGGTCCATCAGCCCAAGTTGCCACAGTAGTACACAAAGAACAGGTGGATAGAAAAGGATTGATATCAAAGTAGACAATGTTGCCTGAGAAAATAAGCAGTCTGAAGATCGAGAGTAGTCCAAATATTCAAGCTTTAGAATATGTCAAGTATTGAATACGTCTGCGCCACTGTCACTGATTTTCAACCATGTCACCACGGATCCTTAACCACTGATTTCTTTCGTTTCGGGGAACCCAGCCAGACAGTCTACATTTTCCTACACGACTCAGATCGACAGTCAGAGACTTCATCGACTGGGGGGGGGGTTGGACGTTTATTTAGATTCCCATCGCCTAGGAGGGATCTTTCATAAGGTCGTATAGGTGCACACTGAAGAGGAATCTTAAATTAGGATGAAACAGCTGTTTACAGATCATTCTTTTACATCTGTCCTCCATCTAGTGTTCAGCGTTTGATGAAAATTGTCATAAAATATCAGTTTCATTGAAGTTTCATGACCACAAAACTGATGAGTTCTTACAAGTATGAAACATTAATTATTGGCTTCCTGATACTTTCTTTTGCAAACTGATACTGAATTCAAATAGCATTTTCTAAAATTTTTAATAGAGTTGTGTCTTACGTTTATTATCTTTATTTATTTAATAGGCGTTGAGTATAATTGATCAAGTTGCTGAAGAATTAAGTCTACGCTATAGTACACAGCCAATTCCACAGTGGGCTGAAGAAATTCTTTATGAGAATAAAACTCGTGCTTATGCAAGTGGCTTATTGAAAACTCTTGAATCGTCGAATAAAGTGTTTAAACATTCATCGCTACTGGATCCTTTAAATATGACTAAGGTGAAAAAACGTTGTTTGAAAAGAGATACCAATGAAAAATGCGGAATTAATACACACTTTTAATGATGTAGGTTTGATTTGGCATTATCTCTTCCCTTTTGCTTATAAACTAATTGAATGCTTTTATCTTTCTTTAAACCATCGTTAATTTGATTTTTTCCACCATCGAAATGCAGATATAGTTTTGAAGGAAACGTTGATGAGGCGATTCAAAACTGGCACCTTTTGTTTTCATCTAAATGCATAATATTTCGTACTTGATATTCCTCTACCTAATACTACTGACCATCTTCCAGTGTTTAGTAAATAAGTGAAACAGCTGGAGACAGCAATAAATCATGTCAACCTGTATACTGTTTAACCCAGAAAGTGATCCCAATTTGTAGTTATCTATGTCAGTTTTTCAGATGGAATCAACTAGTTGAAAAGTTTTAAAACATGACTGCCGACAAATGAAGCATTGAATCCAATGTTTATGAAATTGTTTTATTTTGAAATGTTTTGAGATGAAAGCCAAAAGAATACTCTGAACTTGGATTTTGTGCAAGATCACAAACGTTTTAAGTGTATTTCAAACATTCAGGTGAAGCATGTTTTGTGTTAGGTAATCGGATAAAAATTTATGCAAAAAATCGTGTTGTCGCTCAGCAGGTTCCTCTCTTGGATATACCTTAGATAGATAGGTAGATAAATAAGAAAATGTCGACGTAGCTACTTTAGTCCGTTTGTTGGGTGTATGACATAGTGAAGCTATGTACAATAGGATAAGTGAACAGTCTTAGTCCTTATGTGACATTTGTTTCTAGTCTTTATCTTTTCAAAAAAAATTATTACTTATTTTAAAGATTCCTTCGATTTCATTCATTCTCTTGAGGTCAGTATCATACTGAATTAGTGTATACTTTTGTAACAGAAATGCATGAGTAGGGATTAAATTATCTTATAAGCTTCACATTTTGTTGGGAAAGATTCTAATATCAGGTTGGATATCAGGTGCATAGAATAATTCAATTGCAGACATCCATAATCACCAATAAGTATCCGTCAAAATGTCGAGAAATTAGTCACATGAATAGAAAAATATTTGATGATCCCAAAAGTGAATCAATCAGTGAAATTCCACTAAGTTTTTATTCACTTTCTTTTTAATAAGGTTATACTGCATTTTTGTGTACTGAAGCTCCACAAATGATTTGAAGGTAAATCAGTTGATTCGAGTTAAAAGAGGTTTAAAGCTTGAGGTTAGAAGAGATGAAGAAGTAGAAAAATAATGAACTGACTTCCAGCGTGTATATTGAATATTCTGATCTCCAATCTGCCTTCATTAATTCGTATTTATTTGTTTCTTTTTCTATACCTCTTTTGTGTTTTGTTTTCCTTGTTTTTAAATCACTTCAGGTCTATATATTTGGAATCTGTCTTGACCAGCAGTTATGTACATTACTTTGTTTTGATAAGCATGCTCTAGGAATCCTTCTTATATAATAAACAACAACAAACCGATTATCAAATATACATATCCAAGGATGAATTTAACCTTCCACTAAGTGTTAGTTTAAAAATGGGATTCCGTTTGTGGACGAAACTGAGTTTTTGTGTCTAGTGATTGTGAATCCAGTAAGTACTTGTGATATAGGTTAGAATGACATATTTTTTGTCAATACAATGTTATAACTTACAGTTCATCTATTTTATGAAGCCAGAACACTTTTTTCTCAATGTAGGCGTGGTGTGCTTTGTTCTGATTCTAAATTTTAATACCTTTTGCATACTTTATTATTTCTATGATATGGTACTTTAATTTTCATAGTATTGTGAATTTTTTTATTTCCTCCTCTATGGTGTCAATTGAAATCCATAGAAATTTTTTCACTTTTTCTTTACACTTTAATAGTAGATTCTGTGATATAGTCATTGAACGCCATAGTGATTTTGTCTCAATGACGATTTCGTGTGTGTGTGTGTGTGTGTGTGTGTGTGTGTGTGTGTGTGTGTGTGTGTGTGTCAAATATCCTTTTCAATTGCGGTACCTCATTGTTTATTCATTTATTTTCAATTACTGGTTTTTATTATACTTTGCAAATAAAATTCTGTACATTTATTTTAGTTACTTACAACTAAAAAAACTTCTTACAAATATTAACGCACAAGTTCACTTCCTTCCTGTAATTTTGCCATGCCTTGATAACAACCATTCCTTCTTAATTCGTCTAGGTTAAAAAAATATCCACACTTATAATTTATCAACACTTTCATTATATATGCTCAACTTGTCAATGATTATTCATTTGACGTTCGCATACAATGTTTTTGTGTGTTTATCAAGGTGCAGACCTTGTTTTTACCTTTCTCTTGTTACTTAACTTGTTCATAGTGAATTATCGACTACTATATTAATAGCAAGTAGTTGGTTCATATCGTTATTCAAAAATGAGTTATTGTAAATTTTGAGGAAACCAGGTTAACTGAATGAAAATCAGTTTACGAAGATCAACGCGGTGCTGTAGTAAATTGCGATGGTTCACTAACAGCTTTTTTTGTCAACAATACTCATTTTTCTAGAATTTAGTTTTCATTTTTATGCATCTATGGTTTCATTTGGTCTACTGATGTTATGAGAACAAATAAACCTTTTAACTTTAGTAACCTGGTTTGAACTTATTGTTGCAACTGAATTTTACTGAGTTACCTTTCCGGCCAAAATAACGAATTGTAATTGGATACTTCAGCAGTTACTGATTACACGTTAGTAATATTTAACTGTAAAATACGTCACATAAATTTAGTCAAAGTGATCCCATAGCATAACATTTGGCCTAGAAATAGAATTGGATGAGGTCAAACTACTCTTCATTGATTGCCTGATTGAGCGGGAAAAATAAACTTTTGAGCATAATTGTTTTGGGCAAGGCAATACACTCAAAAATATTTCAATATTTATTAATCATACCCTTTCAGTGCAAATTATGTTGTGTACAGTTGTTTAAGGGCATCACACTTTCTAATAACTTACGAATGCCAAAAAAAGAATAAATAACTACCCGATGAAATTCATTTGCGAAGTCTTGAACTTCATGAATTGACACAGAGAAAAGTAATCTAAGATCAAAGGGCATAAAGGTAGTCATCGGACACAGGTTACAAACCTTGGATAAGAGGGAGCTCAGCGAAAGCAATAATAAAGTGTTTTATACAACATCTTCAGGAATGTAGACCACCTTAGTTCATAAGAGTACTGAAATGCCCCAGGAGTCAGGATCTAATTATGTGTAGAAAGTAATACTTGCAGACGGCGATGCAGTATACATAGGAAACCTTACAAAATCAAAATCAGAAAATATGAACTCCGAAAAACTACCCCTGATTTCCTGATAATCCAGAAGGAATCGAAAAACTTGAAGACACCTCAGCTATGACCTTACAAGCTATAATGCCATTTTGTGAAACTGACCGGGATTTACTGTAAATTCCAGTTTGCTATTACTTTGATTAATATGTTAGTATTAAATACTGAAACATCATTAAATGGCAATCTCAGTTTTTATTCACTAGAAAGTACAAATAAGAATGGTATTGCTTGTATTCCACAGCTAGCCTCTATCCATCATTAATAGATACAGTTGAAACAGGGAATATTGGGCATCTGCGTAGAAGCCCATTTACCAATCAAGACCAAACAATTCGGTCCAACCAACGTTGGGATAATATAAGCAATAACACTAAAACTATACCCGTTGCATAAGAAGTGGCTATCGTCGCTTCGTGGTCTAGTGGATAACTCTCTGGCATTTGGAGCGATCGGTTCCTGATGGGAACAACACTCACTGGGAGGCAGGTACATCCAACTGATGAATCCTACATAGGACGAAACGCGCATCCTGGATTCTACTGCTAGCCACTACGCATCATTAATAAATACAAATAATACTTGAAATACGAAATCCAACTTATTTAATGATTCAATTCTTTCAAACCATCAATTCTTAAATTGGTTTGGATATTTCTGAACTCAGTTTCGTGCCACAGAAATTCCATAACAGTGAGAGTTTGCATATGTATTACGTAAAATGTATGTGGAACCTGTATATTATTCACATTCCTTAACCACAGCATTGAAATCTAGTCCTAATTAACTGAAGAGTTACCAGCTATACGATAAACAGAAAAATCTAAGTTTTACGTAATTACATAAAGAATTTGGTCAGATATGAATTCGCTCCAGTTTACTTTAAAATTAGAAGTGATGTTATACTAACTTTTCGGTGTGATGTCTGAAAACCATCATCCTGAAGGATATATGCTTGTAGTATTAATTCATTGAAATATAACGAAAGTTATGCCGATAATTTCCTGTCTGATACTCCGTCGAAAGAAATAGTTGTAAAACAAGAAAACTGTGTGTAATATCAGATTTAATAATTCCCATTGTAACATTAAGAACAAGATATTCAGCGAAGAGACTCTTTTCAACGAATTTATTTTCAAGCTGTACAATCGTATATATATGGTATTTGGAAAAAATTATATCCTGTGAGGAAAACTAAACACTATATGGTGATGACAGTAATAATAGAGCGGGTGATGACATAGGCATTTATGATTATAATAACAATTGAAGTGCGAATGATAACAAATAGATTATGTAATATATGGAATGGTACATAGAAGAAGATATATGGACGACACGTTTGTTATTTGCGACAAAAATGTAGACCTCGACGACGTGCTTCGTTCATTCAATGAATGTCATCAAGCCCTCAAGTTTACTATAGAGAAGGAATCAGAATCAACTATTCCTTTTCTTGATGTGCTTCTCACCCGACGTCAGAATGGATACCTTAAAAGATCCATCTACAGAAAACCAACGTGGAACGGACAACTAACTAATTTTTATAGTTGGGTGCCCATCAACAGAAAAAGAAATCTTATTCACTCTCTTTGCTATCGAATAAGAAGTATCTGTAGTGACGATTGTATCGAGGAAGAGCTATCTTTCTTAAAAAGCATACTTGTCGAAAACGGTTACCCTAGCCGTTTTATTGATAAAAATATGCGGGAAAGAAACACTAAACCAGTCATCCACTCGGTCTCAAAGAAAAGATTGTTTATGAGCCTAGAGTTTAAAGGAGACCTAGCATCGGATGTACTGAAGAATCGTCTTACCAGATCAATCAATAGGACTTTCTTCGCAGCAAGACTCCAGTTGACTTTTACCAGCCACAACCTATTCTCCACCTGCGTTAAAGACAAGCTTCCTCGTTTGGCCGCCTCTATGTGCATCTACCAGTTCACCTGCTCCTGTGGAGCAAGGTACATCGGCCGTAGCCAGAGAATGCTTTCTACACGTATACGAGAACATGTTCCTGCTTGGTTTTATAAAGGTGAAAGAAAGTCTGTTAGAAGTTCGATTCTAGAACATTTGATTGACTTCCATCACACAACAAATCCAGACGATGACTTTGAAATTATTTATCGAATTCGCCCAAACCTCCCACGTTCTCTTCGTTTTCAACTCCTTAAAACAGCGGAGGCTTTAGCTATTCATGAACTAAGACCTGATCTGTGTGTACAAAAGAAGTATGTGCAGTCACTGTCTTTATCATGGCCATAACATTTTCCCACCCCATTAGCTCCCCCTCCCACTTTGTTAATTTAACCTTTGTATCCTTCCTTTATCACTATTATTGTTATTATAATCGCCTTCACTTCAACTAGTTTCCGGTGTTATTTCACTTAATTGTCTTAATCCTTTTAGAAAACATTGACTTCATCTTGTCCAATTTGTCTAATGCCATTACATAATACTTAATTGATTTACCATTTTCAATAATTTTTTCACCCCCTTCTGAGTTATATACTCTCTATGTACCATTCCATATATTACATAATCTATTTGTTATCATTCGCACTTCAATTGTTATTATAATCATAAATGCCTATGTCATCACCCGCTCTATTATTACTGTCATCACCATATAGTGTTTAGTTTTCCTCACAGGATATAATTTTTTCCAAATACCATATATATACGATTGTACAGCTTGAAAATAAATTCGTTGAAAAGAGTCTCTTTGCTGAATATCTTGTTCTTAATATCAGATTGCTGTATGTCTAAAAGTGTAGCAGATGGATATATCGAAAATCCAGTATGTATAAAATCAGTGTAAAGCTGAGTCGAATACATTTTAATCGCTTCAAGAGTTTCAGTTCCTTGCAGATACACTTACCGATGATTTTCGAGAAGTTTGAAACGTAGATTAGGAAAGGGTGTGCATCTATTAGCCCTGAACATTTAACCTCAAAGCGGACACATGATTTTGGATATAAAGATTTGAAGGTAGTGTATGACAGGAACATAGTTCTGAGTTATTCCCAATAAAAATAAAGTATAACACAGAAATTGTGAATAAAAGTAAATGAAAGTTCAGAGAGAATAAGAATCTGGTTTTCACCAGACTAAAATTATTTAGGATAGATGCTTTTAT